TTTTGCCAATAAGTGTCAGATCTGGTCTCGTGACATCTCATTCCAGTTCTCCTTCTCCCTTGCCCAGTAACTGATGCTCCTTTTATGAGGTTGTCCGACTGCTCAGATGGTGATGAGCTGAGCTCTCATGCAACAAGGGAGAAGGGTGAGAGCAGTCATTTGAAAAATATATGGGGGGAGGAATGTGGCATAGGAAGATCCCGGAATCACAGATGGGAGTAAACACTATGTTCTGTTGTAATCTGTTTAGCACATAATGCAGCCTATAAGAAGATATTAAGGGGAATGTAGATGATTGGCAATAAATGCATTGATTGGCAGATAAATTACTGAATGCATTGCTTTATGTGGCGAAGCGAACACTTCAATGGTTTCTCTTTTCAGATAAATCCCAGAGAGAATTAATCTGGCCCTAATGTAGAAGGACAACATAAGAAACTCTTTGTGGTGATTTGACAGGTTCTGAGGGGGGCATTCAATATGAAAAAGGCAAAAAATTTAAACGGGCAAACATATTTTTAATGCAATGTGTAACTAACCTAAAGGAATACACTACCGTAGAATATAGTGTTGTAAATACTGAAAAGGATTAGGCATCTATATAAATAGGGATAGCATTTACACTTACTCTGTCTAGCCTAAAAAAAATAAAGGCTATAATACTTCATGGCACAAGCTCACCACCAACTGGGGTCAATGAGCCAGAGTATCCAATGGTATTACATCATTAGCTGCATTATGGTGTAGAAATGCTTTCATCTGAAGCATTGAGTATTGGCTGTTGTCCCTGATAACAGACTAGATGGCTTATTAATTTGTTTTGATATGAGAGTTCCATTGTTAGGCTTGATCCTGCAAAGACCTGTCTCCTGCTGAAGCCAAAATTGCATACATGTGATAAGCTTTTGTAGGATTTGGCTCGTTTTAGGATATCAAAGCTCTTATAAATTTAATTGATTGTAAGAACTCTTTGTAAAGAGAATATTTTGGCTAGTACTGAATGTAGTCACCTGAAACCTAGCAACTGCTTAATAGCACATGCACAGCTGCTTGGGACAAGAAGTGAAGAATACCTTGTATTGACATTCAAGGAGTTTAAAAACAATATACTGGTAATTATCCATGTTCCTAAAGTATATTTACACGGAATTATGTGAGGCCATTGTAACTTTTTTTATTTGTCTTGACTTTCTGAATCTAGAAAACTAACGTGTAAACATAGACTTATGTCATTCTTTCAACCTTAAACATGGAGATAGCATGCTAGAACTCCAATTTTAAAAATCAAATGAGGCACCAAAAGGGCTGCACAACTATTCCAGTTTTCACAAAACACTAAAATTTCATTCTAGAATGTAGTCAGGATCCAATATTGTGGCTTATCTGGCTAATCATTTTTTTTGTAGAGATTCATCAATTCTAAACCAAATGGGATCACCCATTGTGATCATCTAATCTGATCTCCTGTATAACACAGGGCATAGA